TGAAAAAGATACTTATAAAAGACTTAAGATTATTTGGACCCACTAATACTGAAAAAGCTTGAGCTCTTTCCAGGATTAGGTAGTAAAGGAAGAGGTGAGGAATTTTCTAGTAACTCTTATGCCAAGAGAATGCTTGGGGTTTTCATGTTAATATGTCCATACTTTCCCTTGCAGGGAGTATCAGAGTAGGAGCACAAGCATGAGTACTACAGGTGAGAATAAAGTGTTAGAGGCTTAATAATCTGCAAGGCAATGTAACTGTTCTACAAGTGGAGCAGCTCTGTGAAATGTTGATGCTGGTCACAAGGGAGAAATAATTAGAAGGTGAGCAGGGATAACAAACCAATTAATACACTTGCCCTGTGTCATAGGGTGGTGTTGGAATGTACTGCCTTTCAAATGAAAGCAGCATTCTGGTGGTGACATTAACAAATAAAGGAATTAACTCAGGGGTGAAATCAATATGTAAGGAGCTCTCAGAAAGGGGCCTTCTTATATCAAGATTTTGCCTGAACACTGAATTACTGCCACAATCATTAGCATCTTTTCCCTGTTCTCTCCTCTAGAAGCTGCTTTGATACTGCTTCAGAAATCTTCAGAAATTTACTTGGTCTCATATATTTTCAATAACAAAATTCAAAGTGAAAGTACTTTTAAATTTATCTTCTCAAAATGATGTGTACTATAAAATTGTTTCTATATTATGAATGACCACAGTCATATACAATTCAAAAGTTTCCTATTGAAGTAAAATATGCTGTTCCTTACTTATTTTTACTGACCTCCTTTTATTGTCAGTGCAGTTAAATACAAACTACAAAGTAATTCAGTTGAATGATCACTGAGGAGAGCCTGCAAAGCTTGTGGGTAAAAGAGTTTAACATTCACAATACTCCTTGATTTTTAAGTCATAAATACTTCTGTGAACCTTTAACACACAATTCTTTAACTTTGGAGAGATATTTTATTAAGTAGTACTAAATTCAAAATTAATAGTGTTCATCATGGTCCATTTTAATTAGCATCTTAATCATGAAAGAAACAGTATATTGTATTCTCTTGAGAAATGAAGGAAAAAAAATAAATGTATATTAGAGGTACAATGTAATATCTATTCTAGTCTGCAACTATTCTGTAGTATCTATCTGTAATAATCTTCTCAGTATCATTTCAGATCAAAGTTCAGGGTTCTCTTACTGCTGTTTCCACTGTTTGTTCAGTGAATGTGTAAAGGTGTGAAGTCTGCTAGGAAAGCAAGAGGGTGATGATAAAACAAGCTATCAAAAGAGAAGCTGAGTTACAGATTTACATTGTTAATATTGCTGAAGTTTATGGGCTCACCACAACTTAGATATGAGATAATATAAAGTTATCCATTCCTCAGTGAAACCTATACGTCATAAAAATCTTAAAATGCTTTAGATTGCAAAGGACTTTAAAAGATCATCTCATTTCAACCCCTCTGCCATGGGCAGGGATAATTTCCACTAGACTAGATTGCCCAGAGTTCCATTCAACCTGCTCTTGAACACTTCCATGGGTGGGGCATCCACAGCTTCTTTGGGAAACCTGTTCCTGTGCCTCATCACCCTCACAGGGAATAATTTCTTCCTAATATCTCATCTCCACCTGCTGTCTTTCAGTTTCTATCCACTCCCTCTTGACCTATGTATAAAGTTTTCATGTCCTTGTAAAAAGTCTCTCTCATCTTGACAGTTCCCTTCAGCTACTGGAAAGCTGCGGTGAAGTCATCCTGAAACTTTCTTATACTTCCTTCTTTGTGTTTATGACAGCGTGACAATGCATGCTGTTAATGAGTGGAATGACTGTTGTGCATATGTAATAAGTGATGCATTTGTACCTGTAGCTGTACCTGTACTCTGAAGGCATCCTTACCCTGAGGAATCTACTCCAAACACCTTCAAGGTTTAACTGTGTTTCTAAGACAGCATCACCTCACAATTTTTCCATCACTTTCAAAGTGAATTCTGAACATTAGCATGAATAGTAAATATATTTTATAAATTTCCTTTTTAATAATGACTGACAGTGGATGGAATGCCTTCGGAAGGGTGTATTTTGCTAAGATTTTTGTCTTCAAACGGAGCGCGTGTTCCCAAAACATGCCTCAATCCGTATGAGGGCGCGCCACCTTGTGGTGCAATTTATACTGCGCCTAGAATCCATGGTTTTCCTACAAAAAAAGCAAGAAATGGGTGGGGAGGGACGCCTGGTTCGTGTATAATGTAATGAAGTATAACTGAAGTTTGTAAAAATATCCAATAACCTCCTGTATGTCAATCCTAATTAATATACTTTAAGTGTGGAGTAACGTGTAGATAGATATGTTCTGATCTCTTCATGAGGCTTACTCTTACTTCATGCAGAATCACAGAATGGGTCAGGCTGGAAGGGACTACAGTGGCTCATCTGGTCTGATCTCTGCTTAAACAGGGTCACCCCAGAGCACATAGCACGGGATTGTGCCCAGACAGATCTTGAATATCTCCATAAGGGAGACTCCACAACCCCTCTGGAAAATCTGTTACAGTGCACACTCACCCACACAGCGAAGTTCTTCCTCATATCCAGGTAGAAAAGCAGCTGTAACATGTGCTTTAAAAAACAACTTTAGGTCTTTAGGTCTTCTACCTACAAAACTTGCCTAATGAGAATAACAAAACACATCCAAAGTAACACTGAGAAGTTTTCAAGTCAGGTCAGCGTGTTATTTGGCTTGTTAAGAGAGGAAATAAATCATAAGTAGAGTTGAGGCTAAGCTCAATACCTCAGTAGAGGTTTTTAATACAGATTACTTTAATGGGGGCTAATATTACAAGAAAAGTATTTTCAGCCTTGTGAAGGAAAGTGCAAAGCCCTTCACCTGAGGAGCAACAACCCCCTGCAGAAGTGTATGCAGGGGATGAGCAGCTGGACAGAGGTGTCCAGAACCTGGGGTCCTGTGTGCCTCGGGCTGAGCAGGAGCCACAAACGAGCCCCTGTGGCAAGGACTGCTAATGCTAGGCTTGGCTGCCATCAGAGTGCTGCCAGCAGCAGGTGATGGCTCCCTTCTGCTCAGCACTGGCACAGCCACACCTGGACTACAGCATCCAGCTCTGGGGGATTTCATCAATTCCTATGAAAATCTCTGTGAAGAATGCAAAGATATAAAGATGATGGAGCCAGGCTCTTCTAAAAGGTGCTCGGTGGCAAGATTGGAGGCAATGGGCACCAATCAAAACAGAGGACGTTCCCTCTGAATATCAGGAAACACTTTTTACTTTGAGAGGGATTGAGCACTGGCACAGGTTACCTGCAGAGGCTGTGGAGTCATCATCCTTGGAGATTTTCAAAAGCTATCTGAACGTGGCCCTGGGCAACTTGCTGTAAGTGGCCCTTCATCAGCAGAGGGTTTGCACAAGAGGACTTCCAGAGGGCTTTTTCAACCTCAGCCAATGTGAGACTTTGTAACTCTGTGAAATAATGTTTAAATATTTCATTTCTGCTAATGAGAAAAATATCATATATAAAATATATACTCGTTGATTAAATTTTTGGGAATATTAATACATTTTTGAGAAAGTATGATTCATTTCCAAAAGGAAAATTGCTCTGTAATTCTAGGTCTGTGACTTTTGAGGATTGTTGTCCCAGGTTTTAAATTCACAAGCTTGTGTCTTATTCTGAGGAAAAAAAAAAAAAAAGTTCTCAGATCCTGATAATACAAATAAAATCCACTGTATGGATCATGTGAAATTAAATATTTTTAAATGATTTGCAACAGCTGGGTATTTTTAAAATTAATAGGTCACTATATATGCAATCATGAAAAGAGGATATTTGATATCTGTTTTACCAGAACATTGTGTTGAAAGGGCCACATAGTTTATGCCATAACTCACATATTGATATCTTTAAGATGTTACTTTTTCTTGTGATTCTTGGGTCACATTATTACTTTTCATTTAATTGTTTGTTGCACACCTGGTACAGTGTATTTTCAGTTTTCATGCTCTGGGAACTGCGTACCTCATCATGAGAACATTTTGCTCCTTGCAGTAATTTCATGACAGTGCTGCTTGTGAATATATCTGAACAAAGACAGAGGTACCAGCTGTGCTTCGCTTTAGGGAAGACAAGATGCCATAGATCTGCTGGAGCAACAGCTGTCACAAATAGCAAAGATCTGAAAAGATCTGTGGGCTCTGTGAAAGCTCACTCCAGATTTTTGCTATGGTTTCTTTCGTGTTCTTGTTTCACTTGACTGTTCCTTTGAGAAATTTCCATTTTATAAAGCTCCAAGCTGCAGGTTTGCAGAACTGAATTACTTGCAACCAGTAATGGAAACACTCCTTTTATGAGTATGTCAAAGTTGCTGTTTTGTGTCCCATCAATATGATAAGCAAATTGAGAGGCATGCACTGATGTTGCCCTTTGTCACATGTGGGCAGGGAGTGACAAACAGCTGTGTTGTCCCCTAAAGACGTGGCTGTTACTGACTGTGCTCTTTATAAGGGTATTAACACTGCTGTACTCAGATTAGAAGAAATCACTGTTCTCAAATGACTTCTTATCTGCTAACTTCAAGTTTTCTATCAAGGAATACTTAGGAGGGGCTCAGAGATCTATAAAATTTTCATAAGGCTATTTTGCTGCAAGTGAAATTCTTTGCCTTTTTGATAGTAAGTTCAGCAGGACTATTTTGGAGTGGCTGTGCTTATTTCAATAGGCATTTATCAGGATAACTTTCTCTGAGTTTTCAGAACAACTCAAAAAAAGAATTGAAAAAAACTCTGTTTTTTCAGAGCTAGAGCCCATATAACAATCAAAGGCACTCTACTCCTCTCTCTTGCTTTCACTCCTGAAATACTTAATGGTAGTGCATTGTAACTACTGCTGCGGGTTTCATCCTTTTATTCCAGTGTGATTTTCTGTCTCTCTTTTGACTTTAAATTCATTACCAAAAAATATAAAAAATTATTTCACAGTTTCTGAAAAAAGATAAGTTTATTTTTTTTGAACAAAATATCTACAATGACATGGGTGACACCATAAATTTCACATTTTTAACACTTCTGACTGCAGAGAATGTCAGTTTAAGTGCAATATGATACTGTAATACAATAAAAAGGAATCTAATCAAATCCATGCACAACACATTTATAGATTTTTTGCCAAAAAAGGAAGTACTTTGAGATGAAATTGCTGTCAGAGAGAACTCACAGGAGAATATTTTGAAAACTCACAGACAAGTTATTAATACACTATCATATCAAGTTTTATTTTTTTCTCTCTGTAGCCTTTAAAAAGCCAGGATCACTAACACACAAAATACCATATATTATGTTAAACCTTTATGTCAAAAGCTTATGGCACAATTTCATTTATACAGCTCACAATTCCACATTCATGGAACATCAGTAGCTACTTTAGTCCATTTCATCTGTTAATATCACTCTGATGTACATTAAAATACAAATGTAAGAAATGTTTCTTGCATATTTCACAAAGATGAAAGTGAAGAAGTGCAGTAATATTCGAGAATGTCAAGAAGACAGGATGAGCCAACATTTTTCTGGCAATAATCCACTGCTTCTAGCAATCTAACCTGCTTCCACAAGCCTTCCAAACTGATAGTACTTCAGTAATTACTGTAGGTTATTGTTGCCTGAAGACACCTTTTCTGTAACCACTCCAAAACAGAACACCCATTTTATTACTAACAAGTAGTCTGGTTTGAGATATATGTTTTTCTTTTTAGTTGTCTCAAAAAGGAAAAAAGCTGTGAAATCTGGTATTGTACTCACCTAAATAACCATATGATTGTGCAGTAAGATGTGGAAAGTTATTTTACTACCTCACAGGGGTACTGTATGTATTTCTAGCTCATTCAGCAGTTTCACATTTTAAAGCCAAACTCTATTCTGTTGGATTAGATTAATTTCTGTGATAGCTCAGAGAGCAGAAGTTGCACAAAAAGTGTATCTTGCAACCAGTCATGTCAGCTTGGGCTGGGAATTGTATAGATTCATTTCCTTCTACTATAAAATTATTGCTGAAAATAATACTTTTACTTTTTCTAAGTAGACTTTTTATCTTTATCTAAGAAGACTTTTTATCTTTCCCTACTGTTAAAAAATATAAGGTTTTGTACACATTCTATCTTTTGTATTATATTCTGTGTTTATCTACATTATCAGTCTACAGTTCCGTAAGGGATTATACACAGTGGAAGCAATACCTCACTCCTTAAATGTAAAGTGCAAATTTAATCACCTAAATATTTCTGTCTAGTGAGTAAACAGAATAATCTCTCACACATCACAAACGAATCTTTATAAAGCAGATTTTGGAATGAACTATAAGAAAAGGAATCCAAAGAAAAATAATGTATGATTGAGATGAAAAATAATTAAATCTTAAGTAAATTCTCTGTTCTTCCTGAATTATAATAACCTGTTTAAATAATACTACTCGCTGTAAAAAGTCTTTGAAAGTAAAATCTACTTTATTTTGTTGTTAAAATAGATGAATTCTAAGCAATAAAATACTTGTGTTCCTTATTCCCTTTCATCTTCACATAGTTTTGCAGCGTTATAGAAAAAAGGCATCCCACTAACTATGCAGGCTTATTGTGTTGGTATTTGGATCTAGTTTTAAAAATAAAATGCATTTAACTGTTTTGGAATTTAATTTGGAGTTTGGTACAGTAATAGTTGAGCATTTCTACTGCACCTCTAAGGGGCTTTTCTTCTCCTCTCTCAAGGTAAGTTTTTTGCCTTATAAGGGGTGACATGGATTCAGCCATTCAGTCATGTAAGAGGTTCCGGGCTCTGCTTTGGGCTTTCTCTCTCCCTGTGGCCCCTGCTCTGCTGTGCACAGCCCAGACTTTTCTTCCTGTACCTTCCTGTTCCACTTTCCATCACGAAAGGATGGTGTGGAAGTCAATCTGCACAGGTAGAAACTACTGTTGCAAAACAATATAAATTTTGCAGCAGATGATATAAACCGTTTCCTCTCGTAGTTACTGCTTCCACCTGAGCAAGTGTACCTAAGGAGACATGGTAGAGTTGAGAAAAATACTAAGGGTACCTAATCCCCTTTTTTCCCCCTTTATGGTGACTGTGTCAGCTCCTCAGTAGCTCTGTTACTGGGGTATTCCTCCAGATCCTACAGTGCCTCCCTCTGTTCTCATTGTGTTACAATGTTCTTCTAAGTGTCAGTATTTAATTTTTGAAGTATAGGGCTGGTCCACAGAAATCACATGAGATCATGACCTAAGAAGTACAGGGTCTGTGTTGAGTGATGACTTGGGACAAAGCTGCGCTATCCTGTCACACAGGCATTGTGCTTATGAGAAGCCTTCCTGTGTGGCTTTGCCAAGGACTTGTTCTCTGCAGAGGCCAGCTTCAGTGATAGTGAAGTGAGGTAGCTATTACTTCTGCTAATGGATGGGGCTTTCTTTATATATAGGAGGAACCCTGCAAGATACCATTTGCCTCAAGCATTATTTCCTTGATGATTTTTTTCCTGCATTTCCACTGCCTCTTTGATGGGAGTGCAACATAAATAGTGAAGTCTGGTAAATACTGCAGGGTACCTTTCAATTCTTGCATCTCAACATCATTTCCTGCTGCTTCATTATACAGTTGCAAAAAAAAAAAAAAAATCATCTCTTACAATCATCTTAGCTGATGTCAGTGGCTGTTGATTCCAGCTTTGCACACAGGGCTGGCATGTCTGCTGGCAGTTTTGGACTATTCCCCTTGTCAGTGGTGAATAGCAGACATTTGTGCCTTGAAGTTTCTTACCATCTTAAATGACATTTCTCTCTTTCTCTACCATGTGACTTTTTACAAAGTAATTTAGGAATAATCTAAATGAAACTTCAATTTAAAGTAATTATTTCCTTTTGAAAAACACACAATTAGTCGACTACCGAGGCTTCTGTTACTTTGGTAAATGTTATGGTTCCATTAAAAAAAGTCCACAAAACCATCAGCCCCAGAGAGACCTTGATTCCATCATATCAAAACAGAATCACATGCCAAATGTTTTGTGCATTTGAAAACAGCCCTTAAACAAAAACCAGTTGATTTTGCTGAAAACAGAAACATGTTAACATAACTTTTTCATACAATAAAATTAACCCTAACTTTGAGAGAGGTGAATGTCAGCCATAAATTTGTGATACCCCCTCACACCTTCAAAAGTGAATGAGATTTTTTGGAACATGCACATAAAGAAATAAAAAAGATAAAAAAAGCAGACACAATACCAGAAAAAAAATCAAAAAAGTGAATTGAATTAATTTTAGATTATAAATGAAGCAAAACTATTAAAGAATAATAGTTTTGAAATAAAGGTGGGTTATACATGTTCTTCCTGACACAATTTAAGAAAATCTAAGTGCTGCTATTATAGAATCTCTCTAACTAATCCTGGGAGGAAAAGAATAACAAACCAAACCCAGGGTTGCTATGTTACAATCCCCACCACAGAGTTACATTGCTTCTGTTACTTCATATGCAGGGTGCCTTTGGCAGTGCACCAGATGTTTGCCTCCAGCCAATTCTGTTTTTGTACACATATTCTGGTCATCAACAAAGCACAGATTTTAAATGTGTTCAAAATAAAAATATTTTGCAATGAGAATAAGCCTCACCTACTGGATTTAGAGTATCTAATAATTCTAAATGCTATATTTCCACATCATAGTATGTTTTTGCTTTGCCAATGGATTGACAGAAGTAAATACTCTTGCCTAGACACGGTGCCATAAATATGATGTATGGTGTAACAATTCAAAGAAGCAACTAATATGGCTTATTTAAACCTTGACAGGGAAGATTTTTCTAGACATTTTAATAGTTGTTCTCCTATTTATTAATGTGAAATCCAGTAAATGTAAAAGACCATCCAGGTCTTTTTTTATGTTTTAGAAGAGCTGCAAGGTTTTCCAAAGTTGTGAAGAGCTTCTTAACCAGTATCTAAGACATATTAACAAACTTCAAAGAATGAGTCAGAAAATTTGACACATTCATAAATTAAACTTCCTGTAATTATGTAATATATAGGAGATGAATGTGCATAAACATAACTGTATTCATCCTCCAAATGCTTCAGTGAAGCAATTGACTCTTTGCTTTCAGGTTTTATCCAAGATCTCTGCATTGAATCAAAATGAAGCATTACAAAATTTTGATGTAATTTGTGTATTTCACAAGCTGTATGAGTTTTATGAATTGAGAAAAAAAACACTTAAAAATATAAAAAAGATTAAAGAATATGCTTCAATTATGAAAGTGTAAGTAATTAAAAGGAACAAATCCTTTCAGGAATCAATACTTTACAAATTTTAGTATATTTCACATATAAGATGTAGACTGTTAGGCTGTATACCTTGTGCTGTCTGAGATTATTTCAACATACACCTTCCAGGGGAACAGTAATATGAGGTACATTGAATAAATTATATGACTTAAATACATTACGTATGTTAAATTCTAAAACCACCAGTACTGTCCTTAAGAATAGATCAAGTCCTTTAAACTGTTTTCTCCAATCATTAATTTGTCATTATATTGTAAAATTAAAATAAAACTTACAAACACTAATCTACTCTGTAACACTGTGGGATTCACCTAGAGTATTCTGGAAACATTTTTAAAATTAAAAATACACCAGAATTAAAAAAAAATATTAAGGACCATCAAAGAATACTGTACAGTTATACCACTATGTAACAGTATGTATAAATACTTGGCAGTAAAGCTTCAGTATAGAGTGATTTTCAATGAAAAAGTTGTAAATATTTAGTCTGACAAGGAGAGTTTGCAATAGCAGATGTATCTTCTCTGGGTGTCATTCTTCCATCCCAGTGTAGCTGGTCATTTTAGGCCGTGCAGGATCCTCTTTCTCCCCATCATTGCTTTCAACTCTTCCAATCACTTTTCTGATGTGCATTTCTAAGGAAAAACCTCCTGTTGAGTGTGACAGCCAGACCTTTATGTACAGCAAGCCTAAATCTTGTTATTGGTGAATGTCCTCGTGCCTGATGATTTTGTAGATTACCCAGTAAAAAATGTTGAAAATCAGAAAGGCTAATGGGAAACAAGCTCTGGATATTGTGTCTATCTTCTTGGCCCGGTCAATGAACACCTTTCTCATCTCATCAGGGCTTTTTGGTACAGCTTGAACAGGATTATTTGGCCCCTTTTGTGTTATTCCGTCTTTTGCTTGCACACATGGGCCCACTCCATATGCTGTAATGCTAAACTGACTATCACGTGTATCATCATCCTGCTGGGGAAAAAAAGAGAAAGAAAAAGAGAAAGACGTTTGTTTGGGGTTTTTTTTAATTATTATTTACAGAAATCTTACCTGCTGCTAAATAGCAGTTGCACCATTACCTCATTGACTTCTTGAATCCACACCTTAACTTGTTGAAATTTCATCCCTATCAGAATCTGCCAAAAATATTGCTGGATTGCTAACAAGAACAGAATTTTTTCTATTTGTTTATAGATTCTGTAACCTATTTAGAGAAATGAGAAAGCCTAGTAAACTAGTGGTAATTGGGAAAAAAACTTCTGCTTTGGTTTAAGTTTCCCATTTACAGTAAATATGTGCAGTCTTCAAATGGACAAATTTCACACTGGTTTTTTAGAAAACAGCTATTAAGTCTGTACATTGCCTTACAACCCAGGATCCTGGCCTCTAGAGATACTCATCATAAAATCACTAATGATATGCACATTCATTATCTTAGTGAAAATTCTGCCTATTTGGCTTCTGTATATTTAATTAATCTGAACTGTATGCCTAATTTCTGCTGTTCCCTGTGAATGCATCAGATAAAGAGAACAGCAAGCAAAGTGTCTTAGTTCAAAATAAAAGAAATGGAAGCTAAAGGCCAGATTTTTCTTCTGACTCACTCTTCTGTCAGTTCAGGGGAAAACTGGCAAAGACATTCAGGATTAGGGAACTATAAAAGAAAGTGATTCTTAATCACATGGCACAGAAACAGTAGATGTTCTGAAGATACACATATTTTCATAGCATACAATTTAAAAATGTAGCTTGTGACTGGAGACATTCTTTTTACTTTAGGTATCCTTAAATAATAAAAAAGGCACATATGCAGACAAATAAATGATACATAATCAGTGAAGTCAGGGCTAAATTTAGTTCTGAAATATATTCCAGTGTACTCCTTCTTTACATAGATTACTCAAAAATAATTATGTGACTTTGATGGCATTCACCATTTTTTCAATACTAATTTTAATTCAGGAATGTCAATTTTTCATGTCTAATTTAGTCTAGTTGCTTTAGGATTTTACATTTTTATGTAATATTAAAATCATTACATTAATTCTTAAATAAGTATTTTGAGAAATGATTTTCATAAGTATTACAAAATAACTGAGCAGCTGCCAATATTTCTTTTATAGAAGTTTTGATATTTTAAAGATCTTCTTAGCTTAAATTAAAATAAAAGTCTAAAAAATATTTATTTGCCAAAGCAAGTAAAATGATTACAGTTTTAATTCAGTAGCTAGAAGCATTTTTTGTTTTATTTTATACAATTTCTCAATGAGCACAACTTAAATCCAAAGTTCCAAATTTTTCATTTTCAAAAATGTCTGTGACATTTAGAAAATCTTAAAACACTTTTCAATGAAGAATTAATTCTTTGAAAAGTATTTAAATCTTCCATCAAATAATTGCTAATTACTTTGCTTCAAAAAAAAATCCGGGTTTTATTATCAATATAAGTTGACTATGTTAGCTACAAAAGAATGCAGATGAACTTCCTAATTTGTAGTGAAACATTTGGCCATCAGCATGACCATCCAGCAGAGCTGTAGATGTCACCCACGTGAAACACTTCTTCATATATGTAAATTGAGTTTACATATATGAAGAATTTATAATTGAGTTTAAACATAGAGACTGATAAAGTTCACTGCAACTACTACATCTAAAATCTGTATTAGAATTTCCCTTTAAAAAATAAAAATAAAGAAAAATTAACATAAAAGAATAGGAGGAGGGAAAATCACTGAGTGACTTTACTATGGAAATGAAAAACAGAAATACAAAATGATAGGATCATTATTTGATGACGTGATAAAACAGAAATTTAATTACTGCAATAGTGTTCCTCTCCTGTCAGACAAGAATGGGAAATAACATCTTTAATGTAGTTGTATTCTAGAATAGCTGTAGTCATGCTCCATATAATAGAAATATTAAGTTAGAAATGCATGTACTGTGAGAATTTACTATTAGCTTGCCATTTAAACATCTTCATATGTACATTTCAGGATTTTGTCTGTTTATGCTCCTCCAGAAAATAATGCTGATGACAGGCAGAGAAAGATAATAAAAGGATTCTTTAGAGTAGCAGATTTCAGCTCTGCATGTTTTCAGGATCACACACTATATACTAAGACTTTCTTGTCATTTTTTTAGGTTTACCTGAGTGGAATGATACCCCAGAAGGTTTTAAAGGTCAGGTCTCTCCTTATTTTTGCACTTGCAGAGCTCCTGTATTTCACCTGCAAGCAGACTGCTTGGAAATGCTCTCTGTTGTTGAACTGATGTGAAGCTCCTTGCAGGAGCCCAGCATTTCTGCCCAGTGTCTGTCGGATGGTGTCTCCACAAAGGCACACAGGATGGCTGGATACAGCCAAGTGACTCCCAAGTGCCGGGACTGGTGGATATGCAGGAAAGGACACCTTCTGGAGCATACCAAGAACTGCCAGAATTCTTTTCAGGAGTAGCAGCTTGAATTTTCAAAAGGTGGTTCTGCAAGTTTTCCAGCAGATTCATAAAGCAGAAAAATCACTAGGTTGGCCTCAGATTCATATCTGAGGGTGCTTGTGCAGGAAAGATGCAGTTATTGTTATTATCTGTGCTAGCTCTGAGTGCTTTTTTGAAGGCATTTATGTCAGTGATATCCCTTTTCTTTTTTTTTTTTTTTTCTATTGATTGATTTGGCTGAAGTCCCTCTTTTTTGACTAGAAATATGTCTCAGAATGCATGTGTCTAAGTCTACAAATGCAGAAAACATCTGAAGGACAATACCCTGTATCACCCAGTTGAGAGCCTTTACAGTGAATCTCCCTGAAAAAGTCCTGCATATTGGCTGAATTAATAGAATTATTCTTTTAAGTGATAATGAAGCTTTTGTTTCTTTTGTGTCCTTTTTAGTGTATCATCATTAAAGAAAAGAAAACTATTTGCTATAGATTTTTGATAAAACTTTGAAAATCTTTTTATGAATGAACTTTAGTAAGAGTTTGATTTGAATGCATTTTTTACCCATTCAGCTTTAGAATTAACAACTTGAAAGTTGTTCTGCATGCAGCTACATTTAAATATTTTATCACTTCTATTAAAATTACTGTAATTAAGGAATGGAAAAAACTTAGATAAGAAGTTTTATTTGGAAAGTTAGAATTCTTTTGTGGTCTAAAGGAAATAATTTCAATTCATTTACTTTGTATCAGTGTTGTTCTACAAAATACTTAGCTAGAAATGAATAGAAAACTGTGAGTTTTGTGATCTTGGGACTATGGTGTTTTCTGTTGGTGTGGTTAGTAATACATTTATCTTGAGAAATAAAATGTATATAAAGGCTGAAAATAACTCCATAGTCACTTGATTGTAAGGTGTCATAACAACTTGAAAATTTATTTGAAGTCTTGATTTTGGTAATTTGAACACTATCTTTTTTACTGCTCAGTTTTGAGAAGGAAAGTGGTATTGAGTTGTTTTGCACTACAAGCAGTGCAAAAGTTTAGTATTATGCTCTAATCCAGATTTAAACAGATCAAAATGGATTATGAAATTCACAAGACAGTACCTTTACTAACATTTCACGTCATCACATACAGGTAGCAATGAAGGTATATGAAGTTCACATGGGAAGATGTTGTTGTAGACAAAGGGACAGGGCCTCTGTTAATGGTTGGATATCACATTATGACAAATGGGACATCTTCTTCATAGTTTACCCTTAAATTTGTACTGTAGACTTGAGGCAAAGTCCCGTCTATACGTCCTGCACATCTCAAGCCATTGCTATGCTGTAATGATTCACTGATTTCATTTCCATCAAGAACTCCCTCAAAATACTTTCATCAAAACGGATGGTTGACCAAAAAGAAAACAAAAGAAAAAACGCGTGATTACCATTAAAGACAATCTGTGTGCATGTTTATTTTCCTCTCTAAAGATAGGGTGATCTTTAGATTTGGAAAATAGAACTAATAGACTGAATATTCCCAAAACCTAAATACATTAAAAACTAACCTAAAATCAAATTGTTATTGTTCAGTATATGTACAGAGTTAATATTTTTCCCATAGAATGTAAATGCAACTAAGAAAAAACAATGATCATGGATGTGTTTCAGTATCCCTGCATGATTTCTGCAATTTTTTTCCTTTTGTCTTTTAGGAAGGAAATGAATTCTGGGGGAATGGTATCATAATATTTCTGAATAGTTTTTTTTCTGGACAGGTTTCTTTTTTGTCAAAGAACTATGGCTCATATACTAAGCATCAAATGAGATCTCAAACCAGGAGCCAAAATTCCTCTGTCCTCAGGATTCATTATGCCATGTGTGTAATAATAAAGACATTATACCCTTTTTAAAAAATCTCCTATATCTACTGTGATGCTTATTGGAAAACACCATTGAGTAGGTTGCACATTATGTTGCAACAACAGCTTTCAATTATAAATTAATTAATAACACAATCCCAGACACTACAGAATTTTTGCTAGTTCTGTACAAACTGGATAGGGCCTCTGAAAAGAAATTTGCCTCTAAGTAATTTGGTATCACTGAGTGAAGTGCATACTTACACTCATAAAAATGGTGGCCAGAGGGTGCAGTTGTACATAAGAATTGCTTTTGATGCTGCTGCTATTGTTTTCTGGGAAGGGAGGCCACAAATGAACCAGATGGTGTGAAAAAAAGGCAGTGACTGTAAGTGGAAAAGCATAAGGAAAATGGAAAGGATAGAAGAACTCTGGATGTCAAAATGTCTTGTGCAGTTCTGTACATAACTGTAATTTGTATAACTATGGAATTTACTGCAGGGGTCTTATCCAAGTTCAAACGTGCTTCTTAAGAGAGCAATTCCAGTTTCTCTATATTTTCAGAAGGACATACCCATAGTTTTAATTAATTTAAAAAAATTAATTAATTTAAAAAATATCCCAAACTGTGAAAACCTGAAAATTTGTTTGAGGATTTGTTTAGAAATAAAATTTAATTCAATGATTCGAACAAAGCATCTGAAAAATACAGAAGAATCAATAAGTATGACATTTAGCTGGAAATAATCAACTTTGCATTAGATGGAAGGCCAATGTGTCTGCAGGGTGTTTCTCTGGAAAAAGACCCAGAAGATATGGAAGATCACTGTTGTGATATGGGTCAGTAACATGATGCTGTTTAATAGGCAAATGGTAAATTGGTTGGGATAAACAGCTGTATTAATTGCATCACTTGATCATTTAACTGCTTTCAACTGTTACTGTATAGGTTTCATGTTGTTGATGTTGCAAACATAGTTTTGAGGAATTATATGGACTTATTAGGAGAATTTCCAGGGAAGGTGGATGAGAAAAAAAAAAAAACCAAAACAAAAACACCAAAACCCAAAGCAAACCAAAACCAAAAACTGTATCTACTGGGAATGCATGAAGGAATGAAGTAGTCTGGTTTCTCTGTCCTTTCTAGACAAGCCATGACAGGCCAAAAAATGCATTAGTAAAAAAAACCTTTTATAAACAATTGGAATAGATTTCAGGAGAGCTTGTTGATTTTTTTTTTTTTTTGGGCTGGAATAAATTAGGTATGAATGATCTTAAACCAGGAAAATGGATTCACTTACCTTCCAAAGACACTGAAATCCAATCATAGGACTATTTCTTTGGTTACTTGGTAAAAATAAGTATTTCTTGCAACAAGCATATATTTTTAATTACAAACAAAACAGACTTTGGAAATTCTTCAGCTTCCCTACACATATTTGAAATGAAACATTTCCAAACTGATATATTTTTGCACTTTTGCAACATGTCAAGTCACTAGAGGTTTTGCTGTACCCTTGTAGATAAAATGCCAGTTGCAAAAAAATCTGTACTCAACAATTAGAATTCACCTGGAGAAAAACCTGATCATAGTAAAATGTTCCAAGATGGTAAGCATACAGAAGGAAAAATTCTAATAAATTATCCTATCTGCTTTATTTCTTTAATAATTTTGGATGTAAATACTGAATAGAATATTGTTTTTCTCTTTGCCAAGGAAGATTTAATGTTCAAGGAAGCCTCTGAAGTTTATTTAAAATGTAGCCTTTTTACGTAACTTCTTTTCACCTCTTGACTTTTTGGTCAAATGAACATTTTTTAATATATGGTAGTTTTCAAAGTCAGTACAATCTAATCCTTGAGAGCCAGTGGCTGCTTGACCTAGTCCAAAGAAATAACAAACATACAAAATTTATAATAATGAGCTATAGTAACTGACTTTAAAAAACACAAAAGAAGAAGGAAAATCAGGTTACTTTGAGTTATGATCCTAGGGCCTGCATTTCATGTTTTAAATTGTGGTGAATAAATCATAAAATTTGTGGTAAGGAAGCTGCAATTTTTAATCTGTAAGACTTCATTTATTATTCGTATATCAGAGGGTTTAAGAAGTGATCCAAATTTCTTTTTGAGAGATAAAATCTCCATGCTTTTTCCTCTATACTTGTTGGGCAAGGAAAGGTTTCATAGAACATCAAGAAAGAAAGAAGCAATTAGTTGAGCTGTCTCTAGAGCTTGAGAAGATGCCTTCTCAGAGGTTAAATCTGTCCAGTAGCTCTAGCTCTACATGAAATTGGAGTGAGTTAAGAAATATCTAATTCAATTATTATTTTCTGAAAAATTACTATTTTTCTAAAATCATAATCTTGTATAGGGACAAAGCATTTTGTGCTAAATTTAGATGAGAAGCTTGTCTCATGATGAAACATACAGGTACAGGGAGAAGGGAAAGCTCTGTACCCCCAAATATATTTAATACCAACATCTGAAGCACATTATGAAGAAAAGCATTGAAATGCATGTCTCCATCCTTCAGAATCAAAGTGAACTACTTGGTACTTTATTGTACACTCTAAAGGCTCTAATTCTAATCCTGTAATTTTATGAGAATTTAGCAGGCAATCTACCTGAAGCTAAAGACTGTCTAATGAAGAATAAAATTAGAATAAGGACTATTAAATGTGAATTCAAAAATGCCATGATCCAGAAAAACACTTAAGTCAATGCAGTTATTAATGTAGAAACCTTTTTTCTTTAAAAGGTCTTAGAAGTCCTTTTTATATTGTGGTTCCTCTCTCACATACCTCTAAGCTGAAATTGCATTGATTGTGATTGTTGAATGAGTGTCTTTGGTGAATTTGAAGTCTTGCTAAGAGGGAGCTGAAAAGGGATTTGGTTTGATTCTGAGGAAGAAAGGTACTATCTGACAGTTCCTAATCCTGTGGTCATTATAACTGACCTGTATTTAAGAAAGATATCACTTAAGTTGAATGTGGTAAATTCGCTTGAGATCCAGAACAACAATACATGGTGAGAAAGCTGAATGGATTAAAAGCATAGTGACACAATGCAGTTTTTTCTGCTACTGTCAGCAGGAAGAAAGAAGCACGTTTTTCACAGGGTCAAACGTTGAATTGCAGGTACTTGCAGTCTGAATCATCCTCTTGTCTACAGTTTGAGTTTCTCTGTGCCACTGAAGAAGTCTGGGACTCAACACACAGGGAAAGGCAAATGTATGAAAATGTCATTTTCACCTGACTGTCTGGCCTGCCTTTTAACAAGGAGTCTTATTAATAGGGACTGCTTAGGTAGGCTTTACAGCAGTGCAGATTTTCAGTATCTTCTAGGAGGGAAACTTGTAAAATGTCTTCTCCTGGTGATGTAGGCAGTAGACTAAGTCTTCAGGAATGAAATATGGCTGAACTGAATTGTGTTGCTTTGGTCAAACTTTCATCCACTAGTAATCCACAGATCCACAGGCTCTGCATGATATTGTTGGAAGAGTACTCATTTAATAAGCAGGCTGGAGAACTATTTACACTTTATAAAATCTGAAGTAGGAGTTACACGCTGGAAGAGATTTTCTTTATTGCTTGATTTAACTACAGATTTCAGAATTCAAACTTGTAGCCTTTGCTGTTTGGCTTTGCACACGGGTAGTGAGTTATTTTACTGGAAGTCTGTATAGCTCCAGCTCTAGTATAAATACTAATAACCATTACTACAATTAAGTTTCTTACTAATAATATGAACAACTAAAACAAAATTGCAGGACAGAAGAAAAAACCCCAAACTTACCAGCCTTTTAAAGCAAAATGTTTGTTCTTTTACCAATAATGTTATTTGAATAAGTACTTTGAGTATTGAAAAAATATTTGCATGAAACACAGCTGTTAAGGCTTTGAATTGAGTATTAGAATGAAATTAGGAAACAACATTTGTTGAATCTCAATGTAGTAAAAACTGCCTCAAATACTAGTAACATTCATTCACTGAAGTATAATCTAACTCTTCCAACAGAGTGAAATTCATGCTTGTGCAGATGGCTCCCACATGGCCCATGCCTCATTTAAATCCCTCTTAATCCCTCTTTTGAGAATTCAAGTTGGATTTATGCAATTCATAGTCCTTGTAGTGACCCTCTGCCCATAGTGAATTTTATGCTGCCATTTTATTTCTATTGTCACTTCAAGCTGCAGTATGTTTACCAATGAACCCTGTATCCTGGCATAATTCAGTCAGACCCTTTAAAAGCTGTGAACACCGTTACTTTTACCTTGCTCTTCTTCCTCTTGCGCCGGAACCGCAGAAGCTCTTTATGTTGCCTTGACACAAAGTTAACAGCTGCGTACTCCAGAAGTGCAGAAAATACAAAGAGCAGGCACACTGCCATCCAGATGTCAATGGCTTTGACGTATGACACCTATGAGAGGAGACAGGAGAAGCCTGAGTATGTTAAAAGCACAGATGTAAAGTTTAGTATTTCATGGCAGGAGGAAGTGCATTAATACCTCCACATCCCAACAGTATTTTTATCGAACAAAACTTTGCATGACAGACAACAATAAGAACAACAATTCAGTCCATACATGTTAAATTTTTGTTTAAAAACATATTATTTTACAAAATGTGTTCAAATCATTAACAGTTCCTTACAGCGTACTTTGTATTACATCACAAACCAAATAATCTTCAAAATACACATGCTCTTCCTTCATTTGTCTGACTGAGATCTGTGAATGGCACTGAGGATGCAAAAAGTAGCTTCTAGTGGGACCAGTGGGAATTCCTGTATTAAATGGATGTGGCTGAAAGTTCCTGGAATAAAAATTTATAAGAAAGAAGACAGGTGGAGAGGCCTGATGTGTTCACTCTCTGCTAATATAGGCACAGTAAATTGAATGCATAGTTTCAAATTAATCCTGTCGATCTAACACAGTGAAATAACTAAAAATCAGATAAAAATTAGAGCTCATTGCAATCCTGTATTGCCAAGTTCAGATGCAGGATGTGATCTGAACCAAGAAAGTAGTTTTTGCAGAGTTGCAAGAGTTCTTCTATATAAGTAAACATAGCTAACTTCAGGCCTCAAAATGTGACAAAAATAATCTGCAGCTCTCTGTTAACCTCTTACATTGTTGTTTTTTTGAGTTTTTAGAGCATTCAGTTTTATCTGTTGATGTTAACTTTGGATGCATCCAGTTCCATATATTTGGGACACAAAGCATGCTCAAATCTGCAAGGGCTATCTGTTTTACTTAACAAAAAAGTTAAATAGACAACCTAAAAATATAATGTTAAAACTAATACAGAATTGAACTTTGTGTATTTTTATTGTATGCATTTTATTTCTATTAACTGCAATGGCACATGAAGATGGTCAAGGAATAAATGAAACAGAAAACACTTAAAGCAATTACAACTCAAAAAATGGAATTAGTTCATATAGAAATAAATTTTAAGTGATTAATTTTAAGTGGTGTTCACTGTGTTGAGAATCATTTTTATGCAATTGTTTGGAGTTGTTAAGGTTTACATTTTTCTACATTTTAATGTAAATGTGTAACTAGTTATATTAATAATTAAATTAATAATTTAGGCAGTTTGGAGCAAGGAATATAATTGAGGATCTATGGTAAGAATCTATGCCTTTAGAATTTCAGTCATATCTGCTAGCATGTTATCAGATACTAGAATGTGAAAAAGGATGAGCCAGTCAATGGTTAAGTAGGGTTTATGCAATATGGAATAACATTGTTTTCACTACTTGTTAGGGCTTATGGAATTAACTAGACATGTGGCTGGCTATATAGTTGAGACAAAGGAGAAATAGAATATATTTGACTGGAGAATCAAAAATCCCCTAAATATTTCAAAATTATTTGTTTGATTTAGGAAATGATTGGATGCTAATAATTGAAACACGTGAGGTTGGCTGTTTTCCACGTAACATTATGATTTACATGGTACAAACAAAGGAAATTTAGCCTACCTTTGGAAGAGATGCTCGTGAACCTGAGCTTTGTGTTGTCATGGTCAGTACAGTTGTTATGCCTAAAGCCACTCTGGCTGGAGCTGCATCCATGTTGATCCAAAAGGACACCCAGGAGAGAATCACGATCAAGAGGCTCGGGATGTACATCTGGATGAGATAGTAACCCATCTGCCTCTCAAGGTGAAACCGGACTTCAATACACGTAAACTTTCCTTTTTACAACAAAGAAGAAATATTCAAGAGAAATAGGATGTTTTTACTGTCAGCATCTAGTGCACACTCATGAAGAATGTACAATGTGTCAATTATATTTGTTCACTAGAAAAAGATTTATGTTTTCAATTCTCTACAGTGACTTGCAATAAAGACAGACCCAATTATAACAGGAGTATCTAATGAAAAGGGCAAGAATATCTGAAAAAATTAAGAATTTGATATGGTCTGAAATTCATATTTTCTTATAAAAAAAACCCTCACAATTCATTACAACAATAGGAAATTTACATTTCCTCTGTGAGATCACCCATTTTTGAAACTTATGTTTTGGAAATACTTCTGTGTACAAGGAAAACGTTTGCTTCCCCATTGTATAATAACTCCTTTATATTTGGTTTAATTTTAAGCTTAATTTTATTTTTATTGAACTAAAAATTGGGGGAAAATAGTGATATTAGTATGAGCATTATGTTATCAATAGGAGAATCTGCTAAATCTCTCCCTGTGTCCCCATTCAAACTGTTCCAGCTCATAAGAGAAACGATCAAGTTTCAAACACTGTTTGAAGACTGGAAAGACCAGAGATTAGGAAACTTTAGGAAGGTAATTAAATGACTTAGTTTTATCCAGATACTGAATATAAAGCAATTTCTACACACTTATTCAAACCAGAACAACAACAGCAACAACAAATCTATTGGTAGCTCATAAAAATGTAATAAACTCATATTTTTATATTAGCCAGATTACTGTGTGGTTGGGGTTTTTTTCTCCACCCTTCAAGCTGTAGATTATTTCACAGATCTCGGCCCAGCCTCACTAGATTTTTTAATTTTGCCCAATGGCCATATAAGTCACACAGGAATGGTGCTGAAGGCAATGCTGTTACTGTAAATGGTGTATGCATAAAAGAGTTTCTCACAGCAACAATTACACATAACTCAGTTTTCTTCCTTATTTTGAGGAAAAACATTTTATAATTCTAAATTTAAGAAGGAAGGATATATCATTATATTTTCTTAAGTGGTATGAAGCTCTTTGGTTATGTTTTCTACTTATTTTTGAAAGATATTTTCCTAATCAATTTCCATTTGCCAAAATGTCATTTTATACAAATTTTTTCCACAGTAATAGAGAGTTGATGCTTATCAGATTAAAAAAATTATGTAATGGATTCATAAGCTCATCATATACTAATGTATTTTGTTTTATGCTGTGACAATAGCGCTAGGCATACAGAAATGAACTTCAGATAAAGTCAAACAAATATTTTTATTCTAGGGATATTAAGTGCTTCTCAACTTCATTATTTTCATAATAGTTCTTTTAACAGGCCACTAGTTTTTCTATGATGTCATAATGAATGCAATTTTATGACAATTTTATTCTCCTAAGGCACTACAAAAAAATTTAGAAAGACATTTGTTATGATGTTTAATTTTAAGGTTACATTTCATATCTCAGGAGTTTGATATCTGCAAATATATAATATATTTGCAGATATAATATATTATATCTGCAAGTTTAATTATTAGTTTCATTTCTAATTGCCAGCATTTTCTAAATCCTATCTATACTCCCGAAATCTGTGTCCCAGATCCTGCCTCAACCATCTGCTACCTCAGCTTCAAGACTGATTTCTACCTCAGTCACAGGATGAAATCCTGGTTTAAAAATGTGAATGGGAATTTTGGTGTTTACTTCAGGAAAGGCCAGGATATTACCCTATGCTTCTCTTCCATGGCCTTAAAAAGGATACCTATGCAATTTAGTCTTTCATTTAGCTGTTCAGTACACCCCACATACCAGCAGTTCTGCACTAACTGGCCTTTGTTGGAATCATATTCTTTAACTGGTTCTTACCCTGAAGATTTCTTTTTTTTTGTGACATTCATTCTGTTAATTCAGCAGCCTTGGACAGCAGCAGTCTGTGTCTCATACATCACAGTAAATCGTGGTGGTAAGGAGTGACACAAATGCATCAGCCCAATCTAGGTCTAAGCAAAGCCATTTTATTTGGCACTATATCAGTAAGAATTGTTCAGCATGCAATATTTTCTTCTTATAGGGTCTTATATTCTCCTTTCAAAACAAATTAGGAAGGAAATCTAAAGAACATCAGACTGACTAATATATGCATATGCATATATGAAGTGTTAATAAACATTAGCTACTGTTTGTAGGTTGTATTTTTTTCCATCCAGAGAAATGTGGGATAAGAGATCTGAGTTTCTTTCCTGAGGACTTCAGTGAACTTGAACTATTACAGATCACTCAGCACAAAAATTCTGTGAATAGTAAACAGTGAATAGTAAATAATACAGTAGCTCTGATATGGATTATTTTATGTGTTTGCAAATTTGACAGATCTAATTGAACTAAGGTGGAAGAGAAGAATAGTTGTAAACAACAGAATCCTAAAAAAATTAAAGAGATTATAAATGAAAAAAGTGCAAATGGAATATATTGTAACCACAGAGAAAGGGAAGAAGAAAGCAGGCATAATGAAGAGGCCAGAACTAGGATTGAATGATGTGTCAGAAGAATTATACAAAAGTATGTTTTTGCTTGGTTTAGTATTTTTGTAAATATCATTGGCCAAGGAAAAAACCCCTCAAAACTTGTAACATCAAATTGAAACAAACAAAAAATTGAAATAAAGAAAAGAAAAAAGAAAGTGGATGTGTCTCTAAGTAGAAAAATACCTTTGTTTAGCTTCACAACATGCGTGAATTAGAGTCCTGTCTTTGTCTTAGACCCAGAGACTTTATGGACTTGCCAGGCATACTTCCAGTGCTTCCTAGTCAAGAATACTGTGTTCCTCTCTTCCCATACAGCTCTGAAAAATTAATATATAGCAGCTCCTCCAGAAGACTGGTGGCTACCCAGCTAGACACTCTTCTCTGCTGCTCCAGTACCGAGTATTGGAGAAAAGCTGCAGATTGAAGTTAGTCTAGCACTGCAGTTGCAGTATTTGCTGGTCTAAGTGTGAAAGAGTTGATGTTAGCTTTTGCCCTTCCAGGCTGAAACCAGAACCATTTGCATAAACTTGGCTAATGTAGCTGACTGAAAAAAGAAAACCCTTGTACTAGCAGATGTGAGTCCAGCCAAAAGAGACTGTGCTGTTTTTTCCCACCTGAAGGTGTGGGTCTCCTTTCCCTTCCTGTATTCCATTTCAAATTCAAAGCTAGGTTAGTTGTGGTTTAATCTATCTGACTGGATGCTGGAATGGATCAGAAGAGACATATCCATAAAGTCACCTCAGCTGGGGAATGAGATAGACAAGCAACTAAGAGCATTGCTCTAATAATTCATTTGTAGTACATGAAGGGTAAGACCGAGTTCATTTTGACAGGCACTGTGAATGTCACAGAGAGTGCCTAGCAGGAGGATAGGAATACCTTGTGGTATTGTGGCTGAGCAACAAATTAAGACCTGATGGTAGTTTCAGACTAAAGCTGTCAAAATATAAGTGTGCACACAATCCATAAAATGGATTTTTGTAAAGCAAAAGAATGAAAAGGTACGCAGGGCTTCCCAAAAGAAATATTTTTTCCTGAATTGAGGTTACATTTTTTCTTTTTGTAAGTCTAGTCTAACCAGGGATTTAAGTGCATGAAAGGGCCCCAAAATGCTGACTTGATGAGCATTGTTACCTGTGCATGCGAGGTGAATGTACTGGCGTATATGCGTGTGATGGTGCATTTTTGTCTCTTACCTATATTCTTTGGTAACAATGTTAGAGCTGCTGGACTTGCAAGATTTCTAGGCAATGCCCATGCTGAAAACATTAGTATAGTGAAAAAATAAAATTGTGTCAGTCTATATGATATTTCTTTTCCCCAGAAAGCATAAATTGCTTTTCTTTGGAGTCAATATCTAGATCACACACTTTCTTTGTTGTAGTTTCTTGCATGGCCAACTGTGGGTAACCCAAGAAGAGCATTTTGCTACTTCAGGTCACCTTCACACTACACAGCCTCCTCTGACTGTAGCATGTACTGTTTAAAAAATGGGCTATGCAGGCAGCAGTATGCTTGTGTCATTAAAATGTACTGTCAGTAGCGTGGGATGTGCAACAGAAATCAAGCATAAGTTGTAAATTCAGGCCATAAAGAGTCCTCTTTTATAGTTTCATCTGTCTCAAACTGTCCCAGAGGTAAGAGTTGGTAGGACTTAAAAGTGTTTGTCTCCTTTTAGCAGCCCTTAAGGTGTGTTTTGGGGAAAGCTTTTATTACTGTACCCCTACAATGTCATAAACATGTTACGATTCCCAGGAAGGCTGAGTAGCTGTTTTTGAAGCTATACAGAAAGTTTTAATAAGGGAGAATTACTTCAGGATTCTGAGTCAAGGGAATAATGTGCCTGAGAAATAATTAAGAAAGGAGTAACAATTATTAACTATTATGAAATTAAAAATTAATAGCATAATAAAATATAAAATTAGTAAGTATAAACAAATTAGAAAAGAGCTAAGCATGCAAGTTCAACTTTTTATCCATGCAGAACAGAAAGTTATCTGCTGAGGATTCAGCAGTAAATGGTAGTCTGACCTTGTAAGTCATTGATAATGTTAATAAATGATTCGTTGTGAAATATATTATGGATATAGAGAGAACTGTAGCTAAAAGACTGTACAGTTTAATGAAATTACATTAATCTATTTACTTAAAATAAGAATCTTATGCTTGCTGAATAGAGATGATTTAAAGGTTAGCAAAACTGAATTGAGTTAAGCAAATCTGAATAAATCTTTATGGTGATCTGCAGAAAGTGTCTTGGATTTGGGAAGAAAATATTTCATATTGTGATTCCAACACATCTGTCAGTATGAATGTAGACTACACAATTCTGATTTTACCAGTGACTGATAGCCAACAAGCAGCCAGTCTAGCAATCAAAATATTGCTAGCTATAGAGATTTGCTAACAGAATCCTGGGGCAACTGGACTGTGATGATGTTCCTGTGAAACAACACTTCACTTTTCCTCATGAA